AGAAAACCCAATGAGAAATTTGTCCTAAGTCATAGCTGACTTGTAGGCATTTTTACCCAGCTTTTTATACTAAAGCTTTCCCTGAGTGCACGTTAGCCTAAAAACAGCATAAGAAGCTACAGAAAGTACCATAACATTATTTTAAGATATTACTAAATTGACTGCAAAGATTTTCTAGGCCATCTAGTGTTTGCTGGGTGTTTAATCATATGCATCTTTCTTTGTTATTTGAACAGCTGTGAAAGTTTCATTAGATCTCACTTTGGGTTGCCTCCACTTTTCCTGACCCAGTTGTGTGTGTTTTAAAGGCTGTGTGATTGACAGACATTTAACTGATGAATGCTTTTCTTTCTGCATTACATCACTATGGGAAAGATAACACCACCTGTCAAATATCTACCTGTTATGCATGTTTAAAGGCAAAGAGCTCTAGCCACAAAGTGGGGTTGACTTGCCTAGTTGCTTTTAAGTTTGCAAATAGGACTATTTCAATCAGGAATTTTTTTTCTCAGCAAATATTCAAAAATCCCAACAGAAGCCTTGCCTAAAATTAAACATAAGAGGAAACCCTAACAGCCATAATTGTCACATGTCATATATCTGCTAAAAGTATCATTATATATTGAACAGAAGACATAGGATTTACTGTAGATCTTTTTCTTACATCCTTGTGACATTAAATGTTTGGACTTAACACTGATCCTAAACATAGAAATAAATTAACCTGATTGATCTTTACGAGTCTTACTTGCCAGTAATTACACATGGGATTAAAATCTTGGCATAGGGCTTTCTACCTTAGAGTTCAAACAGAAGGGTCCAGAGCATAAAGCATAAGTCATGACACAGCATGTCTGTCCATTTGCTATGGAAACTATGTTTGGTTAAGTATCAAGTGTCCGGATATCTACTCATGTGTCTTGCTGGGAAGATCTGCGTATTTTTAACCCAAGCCGCCAAAAGACTACAACCGCAAACTAATTCCTTTCTGAGCCTGGAAGTTGGTTCCACAGCTTGGCTTGATCTACCACAATATATTAATTATCATTGTTTTTATAGCGCAAGAAGAATGCAACATCTCTTCCAGACAAAGATAAGATAAATTGGTGCCCAGAACGATTAATGTCCTAAATTAGACAAAACAACACAGCAAAGAGCTATTGGCCAAAGGAAGAAGTGTGGCTTATGTCAAGGCCTGAGCAACCCAGAAAGCAATTTGACATTGCGAGAACTAGAATGGTGATGGTGTCTGAAAATGTATCTATACAAACACATTAAAGAAAGAGGCTACAAACATCCACCCAAGCAATTACTTGACACTCAAGGGCACAGTTTCTAATAATACATTGGAATACATCCTGAAACGCCTGACACCTAATGGGAAGGGTTGCCGTCTCTAATGATAATGACTCGTATCTAATGATATTTTAGCTCAGTGGTTCCCAACCTGCGGTGTATAGACCACCAGTAGTCTGCACGAACTAAAATATGGTCCATGGCCTCACCATTACATCGTTGTAACGAGTGCTGAGGCTTATTAACCAGTGCTGAGGCTTATAGTGCTGAGGCTTATTAAATAAATATGGTTTTTTTGTGGGCGAGCAGATGGCAACTACTGGATGGATATGTTCTGTATCAGAAACTAGAGCTGATGGAGCCGTCTATGCCTCTCCCTCCTCTAGATCAGGAGTAAAAGTGTGGAAAATGGCACTTCGAGCAGTGGAGGGAAAGGAGGAAATGGAGCAACCTGTAGACAGGACTTTCTTCAGGGGCCACCTCCATTACACCCATTAGCATTTATTTAGAAAGCTCAACTCAATCTTTGAAACATTCTGAAGAATGGCAATGCATATTTGAGCAAACAGAGAGAATGGAAATATCAGTTTCTCTCATTGCAAACAATTCCCATAAAATATCAGCATCGCTCCCACATCCACATGCTACACACCAGCATGCCATTCAGAAATGTTTAATTCCCCCCAGTATAAACATGTGCTCTTTTTTAAGCATGACCAGTATTAGGAGGATCGTGAGGGAGGGTTATAGGAAATTATCTACCAATCTACACTAGAACACTTTAGGAGACCTGTGCTCTTTAAAAGACATATAACTTTAAAGAGCGCAAGTTAGTGGGCTTGATACCTCTGATAACACAAAATAGCATGGGTTGACAACCAGAAAAGACAATCTCTTGCAGTTTCTTCTTCATATCAACTACCAGGATACACTGTTTGTTGAGAATCTGTTTGGAAATTAAGTTGTATAAGAAATATTACTAATTTGTCTTCAGAGATGGTATGAAGTAAAATAGATACCACAGATATATTTTAAAGAGTTTTTTTCATACTCTGGTGAAAGAATTGCTGATCTCCCATGGAAGTTTTAATGACAGAAACAAGCCAGCCCTCCCTAACATTTATTGTTGTGTGTCTTCAAATAATTTCTGACTTATGGTAATCCAAAGTGGACTCTATCATAGGGTTTTCTTGGAAGTATTTGATTGCGGGTTGTTTTCTGCTGAAAAAATGTGGCTTCCCCTTGGTCAACCAGTGGGCTTTCATGGCTGAGTGGAGATTCGAACCCTGGTCTAAAGGGCAGAGATCCCTGTATAGTACTGTGTAAATGCACTCTGCATGAAAGAAAATGAGAGTAAGTGTGGTGCAAGCAATGGTTACCAGATGAGTAAGATTTTGTAAGCCTTTCATCTCTGACTAAACAAAGATCTTGCAGTGATAACAGGAGGCATCAAAAGAAAATGTAATTTCACACACAAGGGAGTTTCCCAAGTCTGGTGGTGATAAAACTAAGCATTTACATAGTTTCCCTGACATTGCTTGTTGCAAAATGATTATAATAATAGAGTGGACAGATCTGTAGGTGAATTCTAATAACTGGATGTGGATTAGGCATTGCTGAGTGTGCTTAGTTTACGCAGTCTTGTAAATGTGCCTACAAAAGTTACTAGCCTTTGAGAACTGGTTTGTAAAGACGAAAAAGTCCCCTCCTTGTGGCCAGACTCTGAACAAACGATCCTGGCAATTAGCAGGCTTGCAAAACAGATCAGGGTTTAGCAGGCTAACTTCAGTCCTTCAGGTGTTTTGAACTTCAACTCCCACAATTCCTAGCAGTCTACTGGTTGTTAAGAACTGTGGGAGTTGAAGTCCAAAACACCCAGAGGAGTGAATTTTGCCCGTGCCTGTTTTAATAGAGTTTAACAGGTACTGATAACAACCATCAAGTGATACATACCCCTCACCCCAAGTTCCCAAACTCTTCTCCTTTTGGACTTCAGCTCCCAGGATCTTTTACCATTGGCCAAAGTCAGGCTGAGGCTGCCGGGAGTTGCAACCCAGAAAATTTGGAAGACCAGAGTTTGGGAACTCCTGCTTTATGGCAATGGGGCAACACAGTAGATAGAGCCCCTTTCCTTACCTATCTCAGCTAATCATCTCATTAAAAAGCATGAAAAGCAATGATTTTGGGAACACACAGAAAATCACCTCTACACCCTAAATTAAAGCTTTCCAATCTGTGTGTTGTGACACTTTCATGTGTCAGCTGCAGTGTGTGTATCACACGACAGTGAGAAACTTGAATCTGTGTAAAATAAGCAATAATTAATGATTATTATGATATGCGCTCCATGCAGTCATGCTGGCCACATGACCTTGGAGACGTCTATGGACAACACCAGCTCTTTGGCTTAGAAATGGAGATGAGCACCACTCCCCAGTTGGACTGAACTAGACTTAATGTCAAGGGGAAACCTTTACCATATATATATGAGAAAGGTTTTAATGAGCTATGTTGTGTCCCCATACAATTGATGCCTGTGCCCATCTCTCTTATCGGGTTGGTTTAAGCTAGTAATGCTGGATTACTGTGTTGTGAAGTGATGCGTTAGAAAAAAAATGTGTCCCAGCCTGAAAAGTTCTGCTCTAAAGTGACTCTACCTGCCCTGGCTGAATGCTATGGCATCATGGGATTTGTAGTTTTACACGGATCCCTTAGGAATGAGCCATGGCACTTAAGTGGAGTCAAGCTGCACTCATTCTAACAGAGTAAGGCCCCTTTCCACACAGCTGAATAAAATCCCACATTGAATTGGGATATATGGTAGTGTGGACTCAGATAACGCAGTTCAAACTAGATATTGTGGGATTTTCTGCCTTGAGATTCTGGGGGCCCTTCCACACAGCCCTCTATCCCAGAATATAAAGGCAGAAAATCCCACAATATCTGAGTCTGGACTCAAGATAACCCAGCTCAAAGCAGAGATTTTCTGCCTTCATATTCTGAGATACAGGGCTGTGTGGATGGGCCCTATATCTCCTTTCCACGCAGCTGAATACAATCCCACATTGAACTGGGACATATGGTAGTGTGGACTCAGATACCGCAGTTCAAAGCAGATATTGTGGGATTTTCTGCCTTGATATTCTGGGGGCCCATTCACACATCCCTCTATCCCAGAATATAAAGGCAGAAAATCCCATATTATTTGGACTCAAGATAGCCCAGCTCAAACCAGATATTGTGGGATTTTCTACCTTGATATTCTGGGATATAGGGCAGTGTGGAAGGGCCTTATGTCCCCTTTCCACACAGCTGAATAAAATAATATCAAATAATAAATAAATAAATAAATAAAATAATATCAAAGCAGATATTGTGGGATTTTCTGCCTTGATATTCAGGGGAACTTTCCACACAGCCATACAGCCCAGGGCCCTTCCAGACAGCCATATAACCCAGAATACCAAGGCAAAAATCCCAATATCTGCTTTGAACTGGGTTGTCTGAGTCCACACTGCCATATATCCCAGTTCAAAGCACAAAATGTGGGATTTGATTCAGCTGTGTGGAAAGGCCCTGGGATAGAGGGTCTGTTTGAAAAGGCCCTACTGAGTATTCTGGGAAGCAAAGGAAGAAGCCTGGCAAAGAATGCCGGGCGGAAGTGGCTCGCAGGCGCCCGACGAACCAAAGGGGCGGGCGCTTCCTTTTCCCGTCAGGCGGAGAGCGGGGCAGCCCTGCGACGCCGAAGGACCCCTTCCTCTGAATCCGAGCCGGGAGCCGCTGCTCGCCTTTCCCGCCATGTCCGTCAGCCAGATGTTCATCACTTTGCAGGGGGTCCTCACCGCCGACCAGGACATCCGCGAGGTGAGGAGGAGGAGGAGGAGGAGGCCTTCCTGTTTGCCCTCCAGCCCCAGTGGCGGGTCCCATTGGGTCCTCGGGCGGTGGAGTCCTGGGCTTTGGCGAGGCCTAGATCCCAGAGCCTTGAGCCACTCAGGCAGACACAGTGGCGCTAGAAAGGCATTGATTCTGTATTGTCTCAGGCCTGGGCCAACTTGGGCCCTCCCTCCAGGTGTTTTGGACTTCAACTCCCACCATTCCTAACAGCCCCGGGCCCTTTCCTTTTCCCCCTTAGCAGCCTAATACCTCCAAACTAATACCTCCCAACAAAGGATCCTCCCAGGCAGGAAGCAGCCAGGCATTGAAGCTGCAGGGCCATTTAATGCTAATCAAGGTGGCCAATTGCAACATTCACACGTGCCTCCAACAGACAAGAGTTATTTCTCCCACGCTGGACATGATTCCACAGATATATAAACCCCACTTGCCTAGTTTCCAAGAGACCTCACAACCTCTGAGGATGCCTGCCATAGATATGGGCGAAATGTCAGGAGAGCATGCTTTTGGAACATGACCAGACAGCCTGGAAAACTCACAACAACCCAGTAACTCTTGCTTCTTAGGCCCCTTCCACACAACTGGATAAAATCCCACGTTATCTGCTTTGAACTGGAATATATGACAGTGTGGACTTGGATAACTCAAGGCCCTTCCACACAGCCATATAACCCAGAATGTCAAGGCAGACAATCCACAATATCTTCTTTGAACTGCGTTATCTGGATCCACCCTGCCATATATTCCAGTTTGAAGCAGACAGTGTGGGGTTTTATTTAGCTGTGTAGAAGGGGCCCCAGCTCAAAGCAGATATTGTGGGATTTTCTGCTTTGATGTGCCGGGATATAGAGCCTGTCTAGAAGGGCCTGTAGATATCTTCCACTCAAACCTGTGTATATATCAGTTTAACCAAGGACAACAATTAAGACTGCTCCTGAATTAAGGCTGCTGGGTCAAACTGCTAAAGTTTATGTGGTAAGTTACTGGAGTCTAACGTGCCATCAAATCTAATCTGCACCTCAATTTTCAAAACCCTGAAACCCAAAAAAAGGATTTGCTGCTGAATGTAATGTACAGCAGCAAAAAGTGCTCTCTTTGTAATTTAGAGCACCAAAGCTCAAAAAAGATGCGCATTGCAGTAGTTGCCTGCTTGGAATCCCTTCATTATAAACTATTGTGTTTGGGCACCAAAGCTTCCGTCAATAGAAAAGAAAACCTTGGGATGCATCAATGCTATAGAATGAATCCACTTTAACTACCTTGGTTCAATGCTATGAAATCATGGGGGCTGTAGTTTGACAAGGCCTTGAGCCTTCTCTTCCTCAGAATGCTGGTGTCCCACTAAACTACAAATCTCAGGATTACATAGCATTGGGCCATGGCCATTAAATTAGAGATGACATCCCTCACATAGGAGCTCCAGGCGCTTCTTAAGCAGCTTCCCTGTTTTCTTTGCCTCAGCACTAAGAGCCCTCCCATTCAGGCCCTATATCCCAGGATCTGATCCAAGGTTTTCTGCTTTAATCTGGATTATACGAGTCCCCATTGCCAAATAATCTGGGATAAACGGAAAACCTGAGATCAGATCCTAAGATATAGGGCCTGCCTGGAAGGGCCTAAGATTACTGTATGATGTACATTTTGGCAAGGTCTTTTAGACTCAAATAAATAAGGTATCTTACAGATAAATACACAGAATTTGTTTTGCATATATATGTTTGATTTAGCCAAAAAAAGGTGAGCATTAGATTTGAGTAAATAGGGTAAATATGTTAGTTTCTAAGATGCCACAGGATTCAGGTCTGTGTGTGTTTCCTGGCGCAGATTAACCCAGCAACCCCCTCCAACATTTCCTAATGCATGGATTTACTAGAGGGGAAAAGAGGCTATAATGCAACAGAGATGGGCAGTTGTCGCTGTGTGTTGACTTTGTTTCCTTTTGCAGGAGATCAGAAAAGTGGTTCAAACCCTGGAGCAAACTGCCCGGGAAATCCTAACAGTACTGCAAGGAGTCCATCAGGGCTCGGGATTCCAGGACAGTAAGTCAAGATGGCTTTGGTTATAACCCTTATACACATGTTATGCTGGTTGAAATAAATGAGAACAAAGACGCCTGTTGGAGTCATGAAATGCTTGTATGTTATCCGAATTAAGCATTTTTCTAGTAAAGCAGGTTTTATGTTTATTTGATTGGAAATACAGGGAACTGAACCATGGATGTATCCACCCTTTGTCAGTCTGTGACCATAATAATAAAATTCCTTTCTTTCTTCATTAATGTTCTATCATAATAATAGTTTGATATCACTCCTGGTTTATCGTCAGTCAGAAATGGATTAAATAACATAGAACTTTCTCACCTCTAGAAGCCTAAAACATGAATTGGATCCAGATTCTTAAATATCAACTTGTTCATTGATTTCAGTGGGACTCAAGCAGAATTTCATATAAATTCTATCTGTCAGATCTGTCAGGTGTGTGTGTTCATGTGACTATCCAGGTGTGGGACTGCAGCTTCCAGCAGCCATAAACAGCATAGTCAGTGATGAAGAATGATGGAAGTTGCAGTCTTACAACATCCAGCTTCACGGGTGTGGGGTAAGAAGGATAGGGGTTTGATAAGAAGTGATAATGGCACAGTCATTAATATTTTGTAAATGATTTGCATTAGATGGCGTCTTTTTAATACTTTTATGTAAGTTTTTGTTTTTTTCTTTTAAAAAAAATTTATACAACAAAAATAAATAAATAATTATCAATAATGAATAAATAAAAACATCTAGAGGACTGTGTGATTCCCAGCTCTGCTTTAATGTAAGTTATTGCTTGCTGTCTTTTTCATGGCTCTATGCCTGAATTAGATTGTGTGTTTGTTTATACCAGAATACTGACTCCCCCCTCCAACTATTACTGCTTTATTTTTCAATTTTAATAATTTCAGTACCAAAGAAATGTCAGAAGGCTCGAGAACATTTTGGCACAGTCAGAACACAGCTGGCCTCTCTGAAAATAAAGTTCCCTGCAGAGCAATATTACAGGTTTGTGAACCTCAGTTACTTCTTCATATGATAAATGCCCACTGAATTATCTCCATGCTAGCATTGCAGAATCTAGATGGAACTCACAAGTCTAAGAAATAATAATTTATGTGGCAGAGAGCTAAAATCTAAACAATTAGCAGAGACACTAAATTTAGGCATATCAGTGACAGAGTATTTTTATTTCAATTGCACAGGGAACCGTGGAGAACTAGATTTTTTTTCCGATCGGTGCTAATGCTTTTTGATCAGACTAGATAATGCATAGTGAGTCATTTGCTAGATATGAAATTGGAAAGGTAGAACTAAATTCTTGGCTGTGAAGGCAGCAAGAGCTGGTCACTCTCATTCATGCATGCATGCATGCATCTTGGTTAAAAGGACAGAAAACAGATTATTTATATGCTTAATTCTTAATGTTGTAGTTACAGAATGATCCAAACTTTATGTGTGTTTTTTGTTTGCTGCCTTAACCCTGCTATGTAAAAATAATCCCATCGCATTCAAATGTGTGTAAGAGAAAAGTGTCTGTCTTTGCAGATTTCATGAGCACTGGAGATTTGTGTTGCAACGTCTGGTATTCTTAGCAGCGTTTGTAGTCTACTTGGAGACAGAAACCTTAGTAACTCGGGAAGCTGTCGCAGAAATACTTGGAAGTAAGTAATAGCTTTTCTGTTTTAATGATGAAGTATGACTTCTGTGTATAGAAAATTTTATAAAATGTACACAAGAGTAGGGTATCAAAACACTTCAACTTCAACTAAGAAATTTGGTTCATTTTTATACCACAATTGTTTACATCTTTACCCAGAAGAGCTCACATAACACTTAATGAGCCATATTCCCTAGTAAGTTTTTTTCATACTCCAGGAAGTTCTACTCTGAATGGTGGCAACTTTCCATGGTCTTCTTTCCAGCCTTATTATCTGAATGTGATTTTCCTGCTTCTTGGCAGGGGGGTTGGACTGGATGGCCCACAAGGTCTCTTCCAACTCTATGATTCTATAAAATGTTGGGGTGAAATCTGGGGGGCCTTGCTTGCCAGTGTGATCTGCCACTGGGCAGTGGCACTCTTAGTTTTGTAGCTGAGATAACTAAGGCAACTAGGATAAAGATTTTGCATTTTCAGTGTTTTCTGGTTTTTGATTTGTTACTACTGCTAACTGGAGTTGAGTTCCAATTGGCTCTTTTATTTTGCAGTTGAAGCTGACAGAGAGAAAGGTTTTCATTTGGATATTGAGGATTACCTCTCAGGAGTGCTGACTCTTGCTAGCGAGTTGGTAAGTAAAGAATATTGTAAAGCAGGGTGGGAACTGTGTGGCCTTCCAGATGTTGTTAAACTGGTAGGAATTGGAAGTCCAACAGTTCATAACCTGATAATAACACATCCCAACAAAACAAGTTCTTGGTGGCTTGGTTTTTAGGGTTATTGGTTCCTAGGGTTATTTGAGGAGCTGATTGAGAAAAGTACATTGACTAGATGGCATCAGTTCTAGTTTCTTTGTTATAGTTAGCATGATTTGCAACATGCAAGCAATTGCAAACTAGTATATCATATATGTTCGGTATCTCAAAAACTAAAACTGATAGGGGAAAACTGGTGCCATTTTTAGAATCAGCAGTCAGAAACAGGCCTCACATTTGGTGCACCAAATTGTGTGTTGGCCAGTGTAATAAACTGACCCAAAGACAATAGGGTTAATGCATAGACATATCTAAATAAATCATCTTTTTTGAAGCTGGGAGTTGATCTTTTCTACTTTTGCAAAGCCAGAATTTTAGAGTTAGTGGTATTAAAGGTAAAGGTTCTTAGGAGTGGACTTTCACTGAAGATGCTCTCAACAAAGGCGTGAGGAATGTGTAGTTGTCCAATGTTGTTGATTTGCAATTCCCATCAGCCCTACTTAATATATCACCAGATGATAAGACAAAAAAGCACAAAAAACTATAGACTTACTACGAGAGAGACAAAACATCAATTCCCGAGTATACTAAAGCTATCAAATATTAGAAGTCCAGCAGCAGGACACATTCATGTGAATGGAATTCCTATGCAGAAGAGAACACATCCCCATCGTTTCGTTGTTTTAAAATCAGTAAAAATCTGAATGGGAGATAGTATACAGTTGAAGTATGAATATTATTGAGGGACTCCAGTGAAGCATGTAGGCCTTTCCTGGCTTTTGCACGACTACTTTGGATGTCCAATTCTGTTTTATCCCATAGTCTAGGCTGGCAGTCAACAGTGTCACGGCTGGAGACTATTCTCGTCCGCTCCGTATCTCTGCATTCATCAATGAATTAGACTCTGGATTTCGCCTTCTGAATTTGAAGAATGACTCCTTAAGGAAGCGCTATGATGGTCTCAAATACGATGTTAAAAAGATTGAGGAGGTGGTTTATGACTTGTCAATCAGAGGGCTGAACAAAGAGGCTGCAAGTGGGGAGAAATAGAAGAGGGGTTTGTGGGACTGAATCGGTCAATACCTCAGACTTGCGGCCCATAAAGGAGAAGGTTGAACTGAGGGCCCTCGTACTAGTTTAGAGAAATCACATGCTGCAAATCACTGTGTTCCCAACTGAATGTTTAGTATGCCTGACCAAAAGCACTAAAAAACCATTTTGTGAATGCCTACCTGGTGGGATCTGTGTGCCCACATGGTGTGAGCAGCCCCTTTGCTGTTCAGTGGACCTAGCGTGCTAGTTATTTTGCAACGGGTTTTCTTTTTTTTCTTGCCCTGCTGAGTCCAATCTTTCAGAATCTCCATGGAAATTTATTATTTGTGTTTAGTATACTATAATCACATCAAAATGCCGCACTTGGCTGCAGCTACTATGTAAATAACATTTAAAACCTGGTCCTAAATGCTTAACTTTCTTCTTCTTTCAGTAAGTCAGACTGGTTCTATTATTAAAAGTAAGAGTTCAGACTGGGAATAATCAGTTCGATAGACATATTGTTGGGAACTCATATTTTCAAACAGTTACCATATACTACATGGCTATCTTTGTATTTTAGATCTGGGAAGTGGAACTTGAATAGTTGCTTGTTGGCATTCAACATACATTTATATCCCAATTAAAGCTGCAAATCTTAGACTATATTTAGGTGATGGTTGGAGGGCAGGAGGAATTGGAGATTCACTGAGGCCAGTAGCTACAGAAGATGGATAGTATTCTTCTTAGAGATTCTTTTGGTTTTAAGTGGCCTGTTTCATATCTCTTTTACTTTCCATTGTATGTTTTTTAAAGATCTAGATAGATTAAGCATCAGAGAAAAGTGTGGGCCTTATCAAGAGGAAAGTGGCTACTTTTAGTGTTAATCCTGAATACACTTAGAAAACCTTTTCTCCACTTCTTTCCAAGCAAGTGTACAAAACATCACAGCTTTCATGTATGGTATATAAGGCACAGATACAAAGTGTAGTGGGTTTCCCCCTGTGCATCCAGTGTATGGGCGTATAACATCCATTTTGTGAATTTCATTTGTGTGGAATTGGTTTCTGTAGCACAGTCTTGTTCTGCTAGAGCATCTTTTATGTTGTACACTCATCAGATAGTTTTCTCCCCTTGTCTTAAAAGTTTCTTTTGCTAAAGATTGCGTCCAAAGAATTCCAGAAAATCTTTGTATTTTATGATAATTAGTGGCTGTAAGTATCTTTGTAAACCTTTGCCTTGTTCTGGTTACGTTTTCTAAAAAACATTCACTGAGAAGAAAATACTTCTTTGTAAATGTGGATAAATAAAAGAAAAACACTGTTCAAATTGTGTGATTTGTTGGCATTGCAAATAACACAGAATTAGGTACAATAAATTGGTAAATCATTCTAGAGTGAAACTGAGGCCTAAATAACCTGAAGGCACCAGATCCTGTCTGTTCTTGTAAGCTAAGTAGTAGTTCTGGTGAGTACTTGGACTTACCTTTCTCTGAAATATAGTTTAGCATGTAAGATGTATTTCAGAGGAAGGTAAAGGTGAAGCACTTTTGAGTATTCCTAAGCACTAGATAACATATTCTAGTAAAATGTGCCCTTTTTTATTCAGGCACATGGCAAGATAAAATAATCCATTAATCTGTACTCATGTATTCCCACTAAATTGAGGGCCATTATCCTCGAACTATGAGGGATCGCCTAAATAAGTAAGTCCCACTAAATACATTTTAGACCAGGCAAGACCTTTGCTGGCCATAAGCAAACTCTCCATACACTTCTTGTGTACTTGCTGGGTGATGTAGCAGTTAAAATGCTACATTACGATGGAGGCAATCATGGAATGCTCAGACACAAACAGCATAGTTGGCACCCTGTTGGTTAATGCCAACTGGAGTATACCTATTCAGTCTTTGATGAGTCAATACGTAGATAAATATTATGGACTGAACGGGACTACTCAGGACTAAAATAATTTAGGACCAAGTAACTAGGGAGCTACCCTCTCAGACTTACCTCTTTGGCTGGTTGTGAAGATAAAATAGAAATAGAGGGAAAAACATCCTCACTTTCAGTCCTTTGGAAGAATGAATATTCCTATTTTTGGTAAGCCACGAAGAAGAGGTCGTGTGGACAAATACTTTCTTGTTGACAAAAGCTCCTTGCTCCAGAATACTGCAATTTAATGGAAGCCAATGGGTTCGCTATAGCCTTGCTCTCATTTGGAGTAGACCAGTGGTTTTTAACCTGTGGGTGCCCAGATGTTTTGACTTTCAACTCCCAGAAATCGTAACAGTTGCTAAACCACCTGGGATTTCTGGGAGTTGTAGGCCAAAACAGCTGGGGACCCACTGATTGAGAGCCACTGGAGTAGACAGTAGTGAAAGAAGGGGAACCATAAATCTCAGTAAGGCTGTTCTGGAAATATGATCTAATTCTAAATTCTAGTGATTTTAAAAATAGCTAAGAGCTTAAAGTGTACCAGACCTTGATGTAAGTTGGCCATAGAACAGGAAAAGATGCAGAGATTTTGTTCCCTTTTTTCCATAGTATCATATATTAATTTTTAAAGGAAGTGGAAGGTCACTTAAATCTCAATGAAACATAATTATTAAAACATTTTATGTTTTCTACAATATAACATATTCATTAAAATTTTGAAATACACTAGATTACATCATTTAAATAATCACAACTCAGAAGAGGCAATTTAGCTTTCGTTAACAAGTACAGGTCAGCACTATTTCTGATGTCTCACATTCCTTGGGTTTCTACAATGGATTTTTAACTACTTACAAACAAATCCAGTGATCCTTAAAGGGAGAGAGTATTGCTTAGCCACAGAAATCTATAGCTATTCTGGAATGTTTATGGGCGAACTAGGATTATATTTTGGCTTTCCTTTCAGCTTACATGTCACATGTTCAGTTTACATGCAATCAATGCAAAATAAAACTCAGTAAACCTTCATCTACTTGCGGACAGAAGTGGTAAGTTTTTTAAGAAGGAGAATCAAAACAATTATTAAAGGGAATACTTCTGGGAGAGCAAGCTGAAATGAAGATAATTATACTGTTTAACTATTCTCCTTAACTGGGTTAATACTGCTCTAAAATTGACCTGGATGTTGCCTAATGCTGTTATAATATACGTACAATGAAACCTCTATCATAAATAGTTAGATTCCTTTCCCATCACAATCATGCAGTGTCAAACACCTCACAGTCATTATCTTACCCCCATAACATTAACAATATTAGCTCATTTTTTCTAGAGACCTGCTCCACATGATCTGTTGCCAATAACCCCAATTGCCATAGAGAAACATCTCCCAAGTAGGCCACAATTCCAAAGGGCCTGCCCCCCCACCCTTGAGCAAGTCTTCAAACACTAAATCCCTCGTTGCCTCCAAACAGACAACATTTCCTTGTCTTTTCTGTTTTGCCTATTTACAAAATGTGCAAAAGATTTCCACTGCCCAGAATCAAGACTACTCCTTAGGGTGGTTGCCCAGAGCATTCCTAGAGTCCGTGCAAGGGCCCTTGTTCATAACCTCCATTCAACAATTAACAGGTAGTTTTCAAGCTAACAGTACTTCTTGCTACCAAAGCACTAAATCACTGCAAATAACCAGATGGCTACCAGCCTCCTCCCACGATGGCAACTTCTTATCAACCCTTCAGACAGTGTTTCTCAAAACGGGGCAATGTAGGCCTATGGAAAGAACTCAAAAAAGTGGCAAGGTTTTATATGTCTTATTAGTAGCAACCCTATAAGCTGTATTTTCCATAATGAGTTTTGATCTCCATGGGTTTTCTGAAAAGGAGAAGTAGAATTGTATGCTTGCAGTTGTTGTGGGTCACCTTAAGCTACACATGGTGTAGAGTTGGGGACCTGATGCTATTTAAAAAGAGGAAAGGTGTGAAGTGGATCAACTGTATTGCCTAAAGAAGGAAACAAATCAGGGCCCATAGAGCAGGAGGCAAAGTGGCATAAAAGTGTAGGACCCAGGAGGTATACCCAGTGAGGTTTCTAGGTTGGTTTGTGTGGAAGATCTACTAAATTTTAAAATGGGACACAATTTTCCTAGGATTTGAGAAACACTGTTTTTTTAAATAGTATTTGTTATAAAGTCTCTTAGTAGAAAAAGAAGTCATCATAGGTAGCTCTAGTGCTATTTGGCCAGGTGAAGAACATCCTTTGTGCTTTCCCACTGAAAGCTGGTCTAGTGGAATTTCTGAGCTTAGCTGAATCACCACACAGCCAGGATTGTTTCAAGACCTGTTGTGGGATGCAGTTATCATGATGTTGGGCAAGGCGTTGCGCCGTTTCTTCCAGGAGCCCAGCTCCCGGGAGTACCTCCGTATCTGCCTGAACCAGTGGTGAGTCCGTGCCTTGTCACTGTCTCGGAACACAAAGGATTCCCGTCTGATCTCCAGAAGTTCAAAGGTGTCATCGCAGTCGGGATCCACAGAAACCACACAATTACTCAGTCTCAGGGGCTCCCTGAGCAGACTAAACTTGCCATTGTTTTTGTCCCTAATAAGTACCAATACTGCGTCTTTCACAAGCCCTGGCTCCCCAGGTTCAAAACTGGACTCGGACACACGCCGGATGTTGACCATGAGGAGCACTTGCATGTTCTGGAACTTCAGAGTCTTGCTGCCCTTTTTCACCCACTGCCCATCAGGTGGCTGGGCAAGCTGTAGGGGCCCTTCCATAACAAAACGGGTTTCTTCCCTCAGCCAGCCCACAGTTTTGATAGCAGTTTCCCTCATCTCAATATTAATGACTTCCCTGTTCTTCTTGCTGTCCTGGCGGAAGGAACGGAGAGTCCAGGAGTTCCCTTCCTGCTTGGTTTTCATGTTGATGTGCTCCAGGTGGGACTCGATGCGGCTCTTTGCCTCCCTCAGGCTGCTATGATCTGGGTGGTACTCAATGGTGGCTTTGATGATGCGGCTCAGCAGAAGCGGGTATTTAGTAACTCTCTGCAATGGAGCCATGAGAAAGGATCGCAGATTCATTCGTCGGAGGGCTGTGTTGTCGTTTTGTGAAACATTGAGGAATATCCTGCAGGAATTTCAGAAAGAACCTTTTCAGTAAAAAGAGTCATGGGAAAATGAGAAAGCAGAACATATAGGCTAGGTAGCTACGTGTCTTATCACTGAATCTATAATAGCCAGTGCTGGGTGTAGACATCCCCCCCCCCCCCAAACTCATCCTTTGAGAGATTATTTTGTTTATTTATTTTACAGTTTTATAGGAGTTCACTGCATCAGTTTCATAGGAAGGAAGAGAGGAGAAGTAGGCCTCCCGTGCTGCAGCGACGACTCTTAGGGTGGACGCGGGTGCGACGTGCCTCGGAGCCAATGCCATCTGCCCCCCCCCCCCCCGCCAAGGCCTCTGCTGCTTTTGCTCCGGCGCCGAAGATCGGGCCTGCTAGGTCTCACCGCTGTAGCGCGTCGGCGCCAACATCATCTGGCCCCCTCCCCATTACATCTGGGGAGGGAGAGAGAGGGCGAAGGCTCCCATCGGTGGTAGGAACGACATCGGGCCTGCTAGGCCCCACCGCCGCAGTGCATATCGGCGCCGACGCCGCCTGGATTCCCCCCCCCCCCGCGACACCGGCGAGAGAGAATTAGATCAGCCGCGAAGGACCCTTGCCTGCTGGGCTGCCGACCATTCCATCGGGCCGGCCTAAGGGGAGGCCCTGCCGCAGTGTAGAGCCAACAATCTTTTAGCACTGCGCCAWCTTGATCTATCTCTTTATTTTTATTTTCTATTTTTATTTTGATGTCTCTTTCCCTCTTTTCTGATTAGCTGTTTGTGGTAGTATAGCTGGCTGTATGTTATATGTTGTGTATGTGTTGTGTTGATTGTGACAGGAGGTAGAGAGAATAAATAGGATTTTGCATAGGAGATTGATAGCATAGGACAGGATTAGATAGGAGTCCAGTGTGAAGCGGGCCCAAGAACACATGAGACTGACTGTTGAAGGCATAGAAAGGCATAGGAAGGTTTGTGGTTGGTATAGGGTTGTGGATGTTATTGAGAGAGTGCAATTGGTTTGTGTTTGTCGGTGAGAGAATCTGTGGAAGAATGTGGAGGGTGCATGAAGGTTGTGGAGTGATTGAGGAGTGGCTGCTTGTGATGTGAGTTGGTTTATGTGTGGGTTGGTAAGTGTTGAGTGATGTTGTAGTGCTGAGTGTGCTGAGTGGTAATTGTGTGAACGAGTGTGATAGATATAAGAATGGCTGAAACAGAGTCTCGGGGGAAGAACGACCTATCGCTCTTATGCGATTTCTTGGGAGAGTCGTTTCACCTTTTATCACTTCAACTAAAGACCCTGAGTGATAAAATGGACCACCTCTTCAGAGGACTTGCCCTTATCATTAGAACTCCGATGCAATATGACCTCCCAAGGGTAGATAAGTCGCCATGTGCAGATCAGACCGAGGACCTGTGCTCAAATGGAGAGAAAGGCTCTTTGGACCATGGGCTGGAAGGAGGGATGGATGATGAAATGGTTGGGGGAGGGGGTGGGCTGCTTGGGACGTATGGGAATGAGAATATCTTGGACTGGCGGAGGACACCTACTGTTTTCCAGGGGACAGCTGTCAATACAACACCAGATCCTATTGTTCAGCCAACTGCACCTTGTGCCCAGGATCAACATCTCCTGATGACAGACAATTTTGCAGTGGACATTGCTGACTTAATGATCAATAGAGGCAGATGGACCTCTAGGAGGGCGGTTTGTGACTCTTTGGCCCAAATCCTATCGAAAAGACCATGGGATATAAGACTGAAAGCCATAACTTGGCTGCGGAGGGACTACCAATCTCCTGACCGCTCCACTTGTCTTTTAGTTACACCGGAAGACAACTTATGGCTTGGCGAGCTACTGGCAATGCAACCCTGCCTAAAAAAATGGGGCATCACCATCAGAAGGGTAGCTGTGGACCCTCACATCCGCCCCCTCTTTGACACAGGGGTACCTTCTCGCCTTGTTCCATCAGGCCCCTGTGATAAATCCACAGATAGCTCCCCAATTAGGGCCCCCCCTCCTGGCCTGTACCAGTTTGAAACTCCATCTGCCCCAGTTGTCCCTACACAGTCAGCCACACTTTCCCGCCCAAGAAAACTCCCCCTGTTCAGCCCACTCAGTTCCCTTGACCTCCTTCTAGTATAACATCGGAAGCATCCCTACCTGAAACCCAAGAGAGACCGTATCCCAGCCTCACTTCATCTGAGAGTTGACTAGCCACAGTTTCCAACCATGTAGGGGGGGAGGGTGGTCCGGAGGAGGGGGGCGCCATTCAGGTCGTGTGGGGGAGGAGATTGGCTGGTCGCCAACGTCCCAGGGAGAAGCGCAACAGAGTTCTTGCGACCCTGGAGAAGGTAGGAAGTGGTAGGCTCCATGGCAATCCCCCCGGCCTTAAGGTTTTGCTGATTAATGCCAGATCTGTCAATGGTAAGACCGCTGCCATCCAAGACCTGATCCTGGATGAAGGGGCAGATCTGGCTTGCATTACTGAGACCTGGTTGGATGAGCTGGGGGGAGTAAATCTTACTCAGCTGTGCCCACCGGGCTTCAGAGTGCATCAGCAGGCCAGGCTGGGGGGGCAGGGAGGAGGGGTCGCAGTAGTCTTCCGGCAATCCATCGCCGTGGTCAGATGCGCTGTTCCGCAAACATCAGGGTTTGAGTGCGTCCACCTGAAGGTGGGGAACCGTGACAGTGTGGGGTTTCTGCTGGTGTACCGCCCACCCCGCGACCCAGCCGTCTCCCTGTCTGAGCTAGCAGAGGTGGTCTCCAATTTGGCCCTGGTCTCCCAACGTTTAGTTGTGCTGGGAGATTTTAACATTCACGCCGAGACCTCCTTGACTGGTGCAGCTCAGGACTTCATGGCCGCCATGACGACCATGGGGCTGTCACAAATTATATCTGGACCCACCCATCAGGCTGGTCACACTCTTGACCTGGTTTTTGTAGCGGACAGTGAAATGATCAGAGTGGAAGACCAAAACATCCTTCCTGTGTCATGGTCTGATCATTATCTGGTCAGCTTCAGACTTTCTGCGACCCTCAACCTCCGCAGGGGTGGAGGACAGATTAAGATGGTCCGCCCCAGGAGACTGATGGATCCGGATGGATTCCTGAGGAATCTTGGGGTTCTTACTGCCATGGAGCCTGGCGATTCTGCCGACGCCCTGGTTGATCTCTACAACAGGGAGATGACCAGGGCGATAGATACGATCGCTCCCGAACGCCCCATCACGTTGCGCCGTGACAGACCGTTGCTCTGGTTCACTAGGGAGCTGGCTGTGATGAAGCGCACGAGAAGGGGGCTAGAGCGCATTTGGAGGAGTTCTCGGG